ATATATATATATATATATATATATATATATATATATATATATATATATATATATATATATATATATATATATATATATATATGGAATACGTCTATTTTTCTTTACCTACTGATAGCATTTGATATTTAAGTGACCAATGAAAAGATATTTTATGAAATCATCTATTTAAGTAGCATTTATGTTTGTGCTAGGTATCATCGTATATTAGGTGTTCATCCTGGTTTTTTGTATGGATTACATAATATTGCTAATTTTAACAATGAAAGCTAGATAGCTAGCTAACTACAATTAGTGTTAATTGTAAATATAATTTTTATATAATTGTATTATATAAAGAATAATTAGTTTATATCTTGTTGACACTGACATATTTGCCTCCCTGACAACAACTGATATCCACTGAGAACATTAAACTGTTCACTGCTGGCTGTGGTAAAAATAGGTTTCTGTTTATGGTGCTAATAGTGTCTCATTCTGTTGTTTTAGGTTTATTTTGTAAAGCAGTTTGAGAAAATTATGGATTTTTGGAGATACAATCAGCCTGCATTTTACGTGGTTTTGAATGACTGCGGTTGGAAAACACATTTGAAAAAGCCTTAAAACTAACCAAAAAAGAACAATTTCAAATTGGCACGCAAAGTGCTTAAGTGTGGATTGAGCTAGGTGTGTGTCAGTACGCCGTCTGTTAAAACATCCACTAGCCAGCATCCTAACTCAGTTGTTGTCTAGCACTGGTTGGTGACGGAGCTGCGCTCACTATTTCTGTACTGTACTATAGCATTCACTAATAGGTGTACATGCAAAGTAAATAGGCACTTTCATACAAGGGTCTTGAACGTACGCAGTTTTGGATTATCTCAGTGAGTCTCTTGATTTAATTAGCGACTGGGCTGATATCTGGCAGAAGAAATTTAACGTAGATAAATGTAAGGTAATCCATGCAGGGAGCAGAAATATAAAAGTACAGATATTTTATGGGTTCCCCACAAATAAAGGTAGCTGATTATGAGAAAGACCTTGTGTGTATGTTGATGCTTCCATATCCCACTTTCACCAGTGTGGGGAAGCAATTAAAAAGGCCAATAGGATGTTGGGTTACATCTCTTAAGTCAAGGGAGGTGATGCTATGATTATAAAATTCCTTGGTAAGACCCCACCTAGAATATTGTGTGCAGGTTTGGTCACCATACCTTAAAAAGGACATTGCTGCCTTGGAAAGGGTGTAACGTAGGGCTACGAGAATGATTCCTGGTCTTAGAGGAATGTCTTATGAGGAGAGGTTAGCTGAGCTGAATCTGTTTAGCCTCTGCAAAGGAGACTAAGGGGGGACATGATCCAGGTATATAAGATTCTAACAGGTCTGGATGCTGTTCAGCCAAATGGCTACGTCAATATTAGTTTAAATACTAGAACTCGTGGCCATAGGTGGAAATTAGCGGGAGAACATTTTAAACTAAATTTGGAGGAAACACTTCTTTACACAGCATGTAGTTAGAGTATGGAATAGTCTTTCTGCTAGTGTAGCGGAAGCTAAAACCCTGGGTTCCTTTAAATCAGAGCTAGATAAGATTTTAACAACTCTGAGCTGTTAGTAAAGTTCTCCCCCAAACGAGCTTGATGGGCCGAATGGCCTCCTCTCGTTTGTAGATTTCTTATGTTCTTATGTAGTCGTGGAACCAACTGACCAGACAAGATGCAGGAGTACTGTACGTGTTTTTCATCAGACAGTGATGATCTACACTGACAAAACCTGACAGGTGATGGCTTCCTGTTCATTCTAATCACCATAATTAATCTGATAGATCTTCCTCTGTAAACACTGGTGATAACTTGCCTTCAGGTTGTCGCTCCAGGTATCCAGCACCTGTTCCATACGGCTCAGCTGCTCTTCAGACACAAACATCTCAGTCACGGCAGTAACCCCAGGCTCTGGGATGCTGCTCCCAGAGCTCTCCGGCTCACTGTGCACCTCCTCCAAATCGACGGCTGACACGACACTGGCCCTGATGGGCATCTCCTCTGCGGAAGCTGAACATCAACAAAAAAAAAACTTCCACGTGAAAGCTGTACGGTGACCAACACCCTTCTCATTTACCCGTAAACTTTATCTCAAAAACGTAAATTAGATAAACGGTAATAAGAGGTCTGGGTGTTCCAGTGCAAGTTCCTAATCTAGTGAGATTTACTTTTCATATAATAATATGAGATTTTTTTTTAGTTCATTTTAGAATAATGATGATTATGCATCTGAGAATAAGCCCTGTGGATTGCTGTGCATTGTACCCTGTGCTTCATGCAAAAGGCTCCAAGCTGACTGTGACCCTGCTAGGGGGAAAATGAATAAATGGATGGATGGATGAATGGATGGATAGATATGCTCATAATAATTTTTAAAAGCTATTTTTATAACTTAAAATACTTTTGCATTGCACATTTATGAACACTATGACTATGACCTTGATACAAAAAGCAGCTCAGGTATACTGTGGAATAAGAAGTGTAAGAACCTAAAAGGCACCATAAAAGGCAGCTGGCTTTCCGGGACCTACCTAGAACCCTGGCTGAGTGCTCCCTGGGCGCGACTCCAGCTGACGGTACCTCGCTGCTCGAGAGACGCTCTCCTGCCCACTTGGCCGTCGACCCTGTGACGTCATACAGAAAAGCCAGCGCTTCATTTCCAAATGACTGTCTGTGCCTTAATGAAATTAAAGGATACTGGGAGACACACACACACACGCTGAAGGTTAAAAACCGACTTTGGCTCCAGTCCAGCGGCTCGTTTCCAATCAGCTGTAAACCCAGTGGTCCTTCGCAGATAAAAGCCTGCAGACTAATTGCACTCAGAAGCTGAGCAGCTGCCGCGTCAGCAGAGCCAATCGGTGCCGGTGAACGAAAAGGATACAACTTTAAAAACAAGACTGAGACGCATCTTATCCATCTTAAGCTGGCCCAGCCAGCGATGTTAGGGCTGCTCATTCTCAACAGCATGGAGAGAGTCTAAATTATAAACACCGTCACGGTCAGACAGGGTACACTGGAGACTGTTTCTTAAGATAAGCTTTAAATGGCAGGCACAATGCTGTCCATTACATTGGTAGAAAATTCTATTCATCCATTCATCAACTGCTTATCCTGGTCAGAATGAAATCGGGGGTCTAAAATATCATTAAAAATACAGCATCCAATGTGGGCTGGTTTTTTTTCATCTGCCTGGCAAATTAATCAGGTTGTTTGAGATTGCAACAAATTACTGAGAGGTTGGACCCTGAACTAACTACCTAGGGATACTTATGAACCTTAATTAATGATCCATCACACAAGAAAGGGATGTTTTTGAGCTTAAAATAACCACCTAGGGGGTGGTGTGTAGCTCAGCGGGTGACTGGAAGGTTGCTGGTTCGAGTCCCATCCCCAGCAAAATAGTCGCATGTCTGTAGGGCCCTTGAGCAAGACCCTTAACCCTCCAAAATGCTGCAGGGGTGCTGCATAAATGGCCGGACCCAGCCATTGGACCTTAAGCCTCGCTCTGACTTGTCTATATGTATTTGTGTGTGTGTCTCATGGAGAGCAAGATGGGACCCATGGAAGCAGGTGTAGCTGTACTTATACAAATGGTGATAAAAGCATTTCATTTCACCTGCCTGCTAGGGCAGGGATGCTTTTAAAAACTTGTATGCAAGAAGTCATTGGAAAGTATATTGTTTTACATCATTTGGGTTTGGCTTTTAGTGGAACACTTTTACCACGATTTACCATGGAAAGCTTATCGTGCTTCTTTGCCAGTGATCATAATCGCAGAGTACAGGCAAAAAAGACCTGTGGCTCAGGGGAAAATTATGTAAATATCTCAGTCGCCCGTTTCTTTAAAAAATAACAATCGTAGCAGAGCATGTGCAGTCATGGTGGCAGCTTACCCACAAGGGGGCGAGAGCGAGTGGCGTCCATTAACCCCGCGATCCTCCCGTCGGCGGGTGCCTGCGATGCGTGGCGGGGCTGACGTGCCGGGTCCACCTCAAACTTGGGAGTCACCACAGCGTATCGGAGAAGCTCCTCATATTCATCCTGTCAGTCCGGCAGCAGTCAGGGAGCAGAGGTGATTAAGAATGAAATGATGTACGATGACTGTAAGAGCTCCATCTACTTCTGCTTTTCGTTCTTATAGAAATTACATCAAAAAGTATTGGTGTGACAGCATCAGTTAAAGATACTAATAAAGTCACAATTTGTATTCTTAAAACTGGAATAAATCATTGATTATCCGTCATACATTTTTTTTTCCATTTAATAAGTAACCACATTTTGGAAAGAAAAATTATCATCTACTATGAATTTAGTGCATTTGATTAAGCTGCTGACAGTCTTCTTTATAAACAGCTGTTATCCGTAAATGAGTTTCTTGGCAAATTTATGAAATTACATATTAAATTTTAAGAAAAAATAAGTCAAAGTTATTATTACAACGAGACAGTCTTGAGAAAGAACATCAGTTTGACCAATTAAATTTAAAATACTCAAAATCCATCCATAGGTCCCAGCTGCATGATCAGACCTGACTTCTGCCTGATAATGCAATTACATATTATTTTTTAACAGACCTTACAATGCTGTCACAGCCATTTCTATTTCTGCGGCATTTGCCAAAATAGAGCATGTATGATTTTCTCTAACCACGTAAATACAACATTCCCATTTAAATATGACTCTTTGATCACACTTACCTGAGCCAAGTAATTTGAAAAACTTTATATAAGAATGTCTGGTGGAGCTGAATAAATACTTTTGATTAAAAAACTGACGTTTCAAAGATTCTCTATGTTTATCCACAACTAGCAAAATATTAAGCATGTAGTAATTAAGAGAAGAGGTCCTGCATGGGTCCAAAGAAAATTATGTCTTTATAAATTTGTAATGTATTGTGGGAGGTGGTAGACCCATAGAAGAACTATTCTATACTTGTTTATCAAAGTTAGGCTGTTCATGTTGTGTCCCATAACTGATTTTCACTGGTTAGCATCAACTCAAATGTGACGCTGGTGAAGAAGTATCTGATACATTAACAGAAGTTTAAGACGTTCCAGTTGCAGTACCTGCAGCGCGGAGGACACTGAACTGCCCCCATCTGAATCCTTCGGCAGAACTGGGCTGCTTCCCTCCGCTTCATCTGATGACATCTAGCTAAGCAATATCAAATACGATACAATAACCAACATTATGTAGATCTGCAGACCTACGTTTTGCAGCGTTGTATTATGTTATATAGCAGTATGATTGCTAATAAATCTTTCCAACCTAGACATTACACATACCCAGAGGAATACTATGGAAAGTATAACGCTATCAAATATAACAGAAATCTAAAGAGACTATACTATTTTAAAAATGATAATCTTATTACATATTAAGCACAATTTATCAACACATATATAAACATTATTTGAACAAGCACCCATCCGGCTTTTGCCTAATATTGATATTACATACAGTATAAGTATTAGCAATTTACAAATTGGCAGAACCACCTATGCCATTTCCAAAAAGTGTAATACTGCCCGTATAGACGTGTGCAAAAACACAGCAGGCATACTCCTCTTCAGCCCAGCAAAATAAATCCTCTTTCATTCACACACGATTCCTTCTTTGCAATTACCTTTCGTTTATAAGACACTGCCCAGGAAGCACAGTTAGCAAGCTAAACTTTCTCTTTGCTTTCTGACAGTTTCAAACCTGTGGGCGCGTCATCAACAACGCCACATCTGATTGGCCGCGTTTGTCTACAATGCTTACCATTGGTGGGCTGTTAACCGGAATTAGGGGTTATTAAGTGGAAGCTGGTTGGATCTGTTTCTATGGCAATCTGCGCAGAGGTAACGCCAGGCGGTTACTCCATATGGTAACTCAGCGGGTAGCGCTGATGCCTCTTCCTATTAGGGTTAGGGGATTGAATTGCTCGCTCTGTATGTGTGGGATTCCTCAGGGCACCTCCCAAACACACGCCGTCTCTCAGTGTGTGTGATAATGTGTGCTGCCATTTAAATGGACAAATGGCTGTAAAATAGGGTGAAAAAACACCGTTCATTTTAAGAAACGGTGACTGCTCAATTCTTCTGTTAGTGCGCTCAAATAATTACACGTTAAATGCCTAATGTTTTAGCTAGGTTGATTATTAAGGTTAGGTTACTTTGATATAGCTGTACGTAGTGCTCAGTTTTTTCGTCCTTTTTTGTACTGTGTCCATCCAGTTTATGAAATTATATTCAGAATTAAGCTGCTTACAATTATATTGCCGTCGCAATAAATACTAAGAACACTGGGTGTTTTAAACATGCTCTATACAGTACGTGGGACAAGGACCTCTTTATCATTGTGCCCAAAATCCCTTGCTAAGTCTGTCTTGGGTTTCTTCAAGCTTTGCTAGCCTCAGTACAGAGCTGGTGCAATATTAAGTAGATCTTTGCTAAAGATCTCCCATAAAGTACTCTTGGGTGCCGCTAGAGATTTTGGACCCCATGAAAGCCCCCCCAAACCCAGACCAATCCAATCATGTTGCAATTTTTTGGGCCCTTAATTGTCAGTCAGATTTATAAAGTATATCGTTTTAGAAAGTATAATATCTCTTTCAGATGGACAGAACATATAAGTATTATTAAATCAGTACCTTTAGTGATACTTCTCACTTTGTCATTAACATAATACAGTTTTTTCCATGATGCTGAGTATGTATGTCTTGTCCTTTTTCCTCTGTTACGCCCATTCATCAGCACCATATCGATAATGCACCAGCATTATAATTAATAAACATTTACCGGAAGCAATTACAAACTGAGGAAATTATTAATGACGCCATACTGTATTGACGTAATAATGAAAGATAATAAATCAGCTCATTTTTCTATTACCAAGCTTCTTTTCCCATATCTTTTCCATGGTCCTTGACATTATATTATTTACTGTTATGGAACAGGGTACTTTAATGCAGTTTATAATGCATTATTATTATTATTATTATTATTGTGATGGGAACAAAATTCAGTGGAAAGTTTTTTGATCAACTTATGTGTGGACTCTTCTGACACCCAAAAATAAAACCATCAAGTCATATCTAAACACAAGTATCAAACAGCTAATACATATTTATTTGGGTGTTTTAAAGCAAAATCTACATCAGTTAAATTATTAATGAATAAATGACTGACAAACCTAGCAAAGGAAAACAGATCATTTCTGCTCCTCACCTTCCTCTTCTCCTACAGTCCTTGGTCACTTCTTGTCCCACAGCTGGTACTAGACTTCCAACTGGCTTTCTGCCGTTTAGCACTAATCTTGAGAAATACCAAAGACGGACATCTACATCATCAGATAGTCTTAATGGTTAATTTGGTCATTTATAGTGAATTTAAAAAAATGTTGCAGCCATGTTTCATAAATCATCAGTTGTACTTATTTCACCTTCATTGGTTTAATATCTTGCAGTTTCTCTATCCTAGAGCAGATTGCCCTTGATAATATTGAATGGAATAATGGCAAGCTTCATCTAACTTTTAAATACATATATAATAGTGTGATCTGCATTCTAAAGCTCTTAAGAACTATCCAGACTTGAGCTGTTGCCCAAAATCATCCATCCATGTATCCATCCATCTTCCAAATGCTTATTCTAGTCAGGGTTGCATGGCAGCAGCTATAGGCTCAAGGCTGGAGTACAAGATGCCAATTCATCAAAGGGCACATGCAGACACACTCACATGCACAGACATACAGGACAGGCAGTTCTGATACACCAATCAGCCTAACTGTATTTCTTTGAGCTGACTCGTGTGACATGGGGAGAATATGCAATATATACAAACTCCACACATACACAAAGCAGAGGGGAGATTCATACCAAAACATGGTCAGAAGTGTGGAAGACAGTCTTTATATAAATGTTCATTAGGTGGTTTGATCCATCCTTTACACCGTCCTGCTGGATTTCATGTTAAATCTTAGAAGGAGATGTTTTTTGTTTTCTGCAGCCTCATGCCATGATGGTACAGTCGTTCTTTGAGGGACAAGCTGCAGGTGGAGGCTCTGACCAGTAGGGGCATTATGCTGATAATATCCTCTAAAGACAGATTGAGGACATATGCCATCCATTTCCCGAAACTGTTTATCTTACTCAGGCTCACAGGGAGGCCTGAGCCTACAGGAACAAGGCAGGGAGTGACCCAGGATGGGACACCAACCCGTCACAGGGCACACTCACACATGCCATTCACTCACACCTACAGGGAATCTGGTAACTCCAATTAGCCTCGGCCTGTTTATGGACTGTGAGGGAAAACCCGCATACCTGGAGGACACACCATGATAGCAATATGCAAATTCCACATGCATGGAATTCTGGTGGAGACTTGAATCCAAGCCCCAGAGATGTGAGGCAACAGTGCTAAGCACTGCACCCCAAGCACTGCACCCCAAGCACTGCACCCCAAGCACTGCACCCCAAGCACTGCACCCCAAGCACTGCACCCCAAGCACTGCACCCCAACCCCAAATGAGAACAGAAAGGAGACTGTGTTTAAAACATATATTTCTAACCACAGTAGATGGAAGGTGATGGACATTATTAGGAAGGATGATGATACATTTTAAACTAACCACAGAAGATAATGTAAAAAACATTAAAATTACCCACAATTACTGGTACTGACTGCTTTTCCCATTGTGATTATAATGTTAATTGGCCTTCTGTCCAAGATGGAGCCCCAGCCTTATGCCCTGTGCTACCTGGGGAGACTCCAAGACCCCTGGACCATGAGCAGAATAAGCAGCTGGAAGGATACCTGCAGACACTCCCGTTTCCCCGGGTTTCTCCTGTATTTCAAGGCCATCTCCTGGCACCTTCTCATTTTGTTGTTTCTCCTGGGTAAGTCCTGAAATTTCCCTGGCCCTCAAACTGTTATGAATAACTGTCATACATGAATCCATAAGTTGTGTATGTTTGTATGATGTCACCCAAGTGATTGTTTATGAAACACAATCTAGACACACAATTCACACACTACATACAGTTTTGACCCATTCCTTACTGCAACCTAGCAACAAACAGCCCAATTTAAGGGGTGTATGCAGCCATCTGTCTGTCTGTCTGTCTAACTATCTATATAATCTGTTTATTTATTTAATCATCTACTTACTGACTTATCCAATTCCCACCCTTCACCACCAAAATAACTCCAGTATTTTGAAACCGAAATGTTGGCAGGTATGGGAAAGTGGCTGGATGATTATGAAGTTTAAATGTTTAATAAACAAGTTATCTTATAGATTATAAGACCCCTAGAGAGTTACATTGTAATACAATGAGCAATGACTCAAAACGTTCATTTAGCAAGGTGCTCATACAGACTGACATTGTCACAAACTAGAACATCTGGCGGTGTTCATTTAATGTGGGAGACAGTCATCAACATGGCGCGATCTGTCGAGTTTGATGACAGTCTGATGAGCACGCTGCTGTTGTTTGTTTAATTTTGTTTGCCAGGCCGGTTTTTACCTTCCCATAGCATAGAAAGAAACAGTGCAAAAGATGGCCTTTGGTCTTGAAAAGCTGGTGGACTCATTTCAAATGCTCTATACAGGAAATGAAATACAGCATTCATCTGTTTCTTCTGATCCTGAGTAAGCAGGTTAATACACAAAGGAAGCACCTTATCTTATGTTGTCTTATTGTCTTCGATAAGCAGAGAGTTTTTGATATTTTAAGATAGATCTACTTGAGTTTGCTTTACAAATTACTGAAAAAGACCAGCCAGTACCCCATACGTGGATTTTATCATGCGTTTGTTTTCATTAGTCATTTATAAAAATCAAACCAAATTTAAATTAACGAATGATTTTGATTTAACTTAATTATGTCAAAAGCTTACAATTAATATCTGTAAAATTAAAGTAATAGGCTTCTGGTGTGTTTATCGGCTCATAAAAATTCATGCTGCAATAAAAGTATAATTGAATTGTCTACGACAGTTTTCTGTGAACCATCGAAACATTTCAGTCTAATGTGAAAACATTAACAAACAAAAACCAATAAAACATAACATTGTTGCAACATTCACCCCTGGATTTTTAATCAACTACCCAATAATAAAGGTGAAGTTCATAATATAATCATTAACAACAATACAATAACAACTATGCCACAGAGGTTTCAGAAACAAAATAGCTGTTTAATTAAAGATGCATGACAAAGCTAGAATATTTTTACAGTACCCCTAACAGCTACTGAAATGCATTACAATGCTTACCAATCATTTCCAAACTGTAAACTATTTTGATGCTCTAATCATTATTGCCTCTCCCCCTAGCTAATTGTTATTTGGCTTTAAAGTATTAAGATTTATGCGGCTGTCTTAATAAAGATGAAATGTTTTTATTCATGTTTAATGTGAAATTTGAGCATGTTTTCCCAGAGTACAGTGTGATTGTCTCTGCTGTGATTTATTATGAGTCAGTCTGAAGAAAGCTGTTCAGTGAAACATACTGGGGAGTCAGACATACTACCCCTGCTGCTCGACTAAAGCATTATCTGCTAATCAGTATTTTAAGAGGAGTCAGTCATTGAGGATTGTGCGGAAGAAACTGTTTTTTTTTAGATAGGATAGGATAGGATAGGAGAAACTTTCTCAGCCTATTACATAATTCTACACATAAAGCTCGAATCTGCACTCAAGACGAATACTATTCAGCACAGGTAGCTGGGACCACCTGCTTGCCGTCTCTGCCTGGCGCACCTCTGACAGTGCCCTTCTGCTGGCTGCAGGGCCGTCAGCCGGGAGCCGCCCTTCTCCGGTGTTTCACTCCTTTAATCCCGGAACTTCTCTGGGTGGTGGAGCAGCGATTGGGATGTCTCCCTACTGCCCCCTGCATCTGGCCCTAAGATCCTTGCTCCTCCCCATTGCTTGTCCTTCCTGCGGAGCCAGAGCCAGAAGCTCCCCTGCTCTGCCTCCTCAGCAATACCTCTGATGGCTCTCTTCAGATTGGTACCTCTGATGCCCAGGGACTTGAGGAGACGCTGAGCTGATGTTCCTGCATAGCCTCTGCAACCAACCTCCAGTGGGAATGTGAACGCCCTCCACCCGGCCTGAGAGCATGCAGCTGCCAGCTCTGCATGCTTGTCCTTCTCCCTTTCGAAGGCAGCCTCCATTCCTTCCTCCCACGGAATGGTCAGTTCGACCATGATGACCGCCTTGGTGAAGGAAGACCAGAGCACTATATCGGGTCGCAGAGAGGTTGGGGTGATCTCCTGAGCAGCTGGTTAAAATTAGTGATTAAATAGGTGCAGATTATGGATAAACACACAGAAAATTCAAATTCCAGCAGGATTTGTGCTGTAAAACTCCCGGTTAATGCACTCCATCTTCAATGACAAAATAAAATACCCTATATAAAAACTATATTTGGTCATATTTTTTTGTGTCAGACATGTGTTGATTGTTTCCCAGGAAAACAGGAAACATGCCCCCCATGAAATAATACAATATGTATGGAGGGAAAAACAGGGTGAATTCAGGTGATCAGCCCATTCATTCCCACCGTCTGTTTCGTTTTTCAGCGTGCTTCCTTTCTGCTGGAACTGAAAAGGCCGTCTTCTCTGTCATTCTTTACTGTTCCTCTGTACAGTTTTGTTCGGTCCCTGTTTCTTTTCCCATCTAGTCACATGGTTCTGTTTTTGGTTCTACCGGAGCGTACCAAGAAATTCTGCGCCCCCCAACAAAATGTCATCTTGCCCCCCCACCAGATTTTACATATGATTTCACATATCCAAGGGTCCCGGGAAACTGTTGGGCCTCCTGAATCTGCCAGGGTATCCATGACCCTCCTCTGCCCCCAGTCCTACCCAGGGTAAGTGAAAAAGATGCAAAAAAGCAAATACCATTAATCCTACTGTAAGTATATAATGTTTTGTACAATATGTTGATTGTCATTGCTATGTTATATGACTGCTAAATATAAAAATCTGTCAGGGTCGGTGTCCCATTTGTTTTCTCCCTATCTGGCCAGAAGGTGTCGCTGGTCGTCTCGATCCCTAGCGTGTCTCCCTGCTCCCTGAGCCATTGTGTAGCTCAATGGGTTGAACAAGTGGCTCTGAGGCTGATACCCTCCAGTCCTGAGTTCCTGTTATTTAATATTTATTAGTTTTCTGCTTTGCTTTGTGTGATTGTTTAAGGTTTACCCTGCTTGTGCCTTGATTTTGTTCTGCTTATACTTATGTTTGTAGTCATTCCAATATTGTTGTTAACCCTTAGCGCTTGTTAAGGTTTCCTAGTCTCTGTGTTTGTTAATTGTAACTTATTCCACTGATTGGTTGATTTTATTATGATCCAAACCTGCCCCTTGTTAGTCTTGTTGTCTAAGTATTTAAGTGCCTGTTCTTGTTCTGTTCCTTGTTGGTTCATTGTGGCCATTTTCCACGTGTGACTGTATTCCTGTGTTCCTGTGAGTTTGTTAGCTGTATTTTTGATAGTTATTTCTTGTTAGTTATGTAGTTGTTAATGTGTGTTATAGTAGCTGCGGTTGTTTTCTACTCCTGCTCCTTGTTTTTCTCTGTTCCCTAGTTGTGCTTTGGTTTGTTCTTGATTTTCCTGTTTTGTTTTTGGTCCCTCGTTGTCTATTTTCAGGTTTCTGCTTTGTGTTCTGTTCTGTTTTGTGAATAAACCCCTTTTCGTTGGAGCCACTCCTTGGGTCGTCATTCTTTTCGCTCCTTTATCATGCCCCAGCATAAGAAAGAATACATTGTTCGATATTCGATATTCCACATCGAATGTTACATTGTTAAGGCCATAGAATATTTATTTTTCTTTACTTTTGTATGTTTTAGTTACTGCTTAATTTGTACATGCCTGATAAGACCTTCTGGCACAAATGAAGTTCATTTCTATGTCATCATTACTATAGCCAAGGTAAGAAATACGTATAAATGTTGTAAATGCGAAATCCTTAGTTTTCCAGCGCCCAGACATTGCAAATTCCTTTGTCTGAACAATATCAACAAGTCGATTTTTCATTACTTTCTGCAGGCGTATCTGGCAGCATCTGAGAACTTCCTGTTATAAATCAACCAAGTGATAAATAGCAGAGATATGGCAGGGGAAGAATGCTGTAAGGATTCAGAAAGCAACACATATTTACAGCATTTTCAGTGACCACAGACAAACATAGCACCCACAACATTTTTAATATTAAAAAATAAACTGGAACAGCAGGAGGTGTAGTGGTTAAGAATATATAAACCCATAACTTTCTTCAAAGTGCTTAGCCTGAATTGCCCCAGTAAAATATGTAAAAATTTATGAATAGGTGGAAATTGCATGTTGCATTCGATGAAAACATCCGATGTTATGAAACTCTCAGACGAAAGGGAATATAAAAGATGATTTGCTGACATGAACACAATCAGCTTTGCGCTAATTATTATGATGCCATGTATATGTTCTAATTAAAAGTCGCTTTCCATATGCAATTAAAGGCACAGCCAAAAACAGTGTAAATGAGTGCCCATGCACCACTTAAAATTAATCAAGGTTTGAGCAAGTCATGATTGATTTAATTAATATCATTAAAACATGTACACTACTTTAATTACTCGATGAATAATAATAAAAAAAGATAATACATTTTAATGATCTCTGTTTTCTGAAAATATGCAGAAATCATTGCTATACTGTAATTGCTTTGCTGTCATTAAGGACTCTGATCACTTCCTGATTTTCGCACAGCTGAAGACATCAAAAACAACCTAAGCAAAGGAAGCAATAGAGTGCAGAAATGAAGGATGTGAACCTGTATCTGGTAGCCCCAGGTCTCTGGTCCCAGGTGAGTCCTGCTGCAGCCTTTTGAGCGAAGGACTGAACCTGCTGAACTGCTCAGGTAAGACAAGCATCGCAATAAATGGGTTCCATGGGTCACTTCAGACAAACACATTAGCTAAACAAGTAAATAAAAGAAACTACTTCCAGCATTTAGAAATCAGTTTTGAAAGAAACTGCATCTTAAAGATCAAATAAATATTTTTAAAATGAATATAACAGGACATAATATACTGTCTGATTGAATATAAGTTTTTCACTATAAAATAGTTAAATGGTCCTTTATTAATATTAGTACAATTATACAACTTTAAACAGGAACATCCATCCATCCATTGTCCAACCCGCTTATCCTACTGGGTCGCGGGGGGTCCGGAGCCTATCCCGGAAGCAATGGGCACAAGGCAGGGAACAACCCTGGACAGGGGGCCAGCCCATCACAGGGTAAACAGGAACAATTTAATAATATTATAGCGCAGTGTAATGTTCACCCAAATTCCATTAAGAGTTTGCTATTTATTAGACATTTATTATGCTTTATCTTTGCTTGCTGTGGTTGAGTGAGTAAGGTCAGGTGATCAGCACAAAGTAAAAGAGGGACTGAAATGTTCCCCGCAAAGCGTGCTTTTGATAAAGCGTTCCCGAGGCAGGTTGCTTTGGAGACACGTTCTCCCAGGGATCATTGTCATTCGCTTTGTGATTATGAGTCATCGCCATGTTGCGGAGGAGTCGGTGGCTATGGGAAGGGGAAGGCACAGCTCAGCGAATGAAAAAGAAACGTGACTCCCCTCCATCTTAATGATCTCACGACTCCTATTCCCCCTCCCCCACATGCACGACGCTGTGGAAATTGAACGTCTAATGGTTTCCGCCTGATGGTTTCAGCCTGATGGGAATCAAAATAGAACATGGTTTTCTGTGTACAAGTGAGATTATAAGTCTTAAGCTTCCCTGGATTTTCTGATGTGAAAAATTATTGCATTTGCATCCTCTTTGCCTCATATTACAACAGTTGTGCTATTTTTACCCCCTTCAAATCTTTTCTGATTTCTGATTATTATACAATAGGTGAATTCATACAATGATGAATGCATACTTATACAATGATCATATATTTTTTGGTCTATTTTGAGTGGCAATTTTACATTTCTGATTTTCTGTATTCTAAAGACACTTTTGGATTCGCTGTCCTAAATGTCATAGAAGATAATAGCAAGCAGAGGCAGAGGAGGGGCAGTATACCCCCAGAGGCCCCTCCTGGGCCTAATGGATTATGTCGCAGATGTGGGGGGGGGGGGGGGGGGGTCATTTGGCCAGTGACTTAAATGTAATGAAACGTGACACAAGACAAGGGAACATCCTCATAATGCAGCACATGGGGAGCAAACGGCAGCTGGGCAGGGAAAACAAAGCGATTACGTCTATCTGCTTCTCAGTCTCTTACTGTATTCATAGAATTATTTGAGTTCACCTGGGATTTCCTTGCCATGTACAGTATATTGCTTATTGGCATCTTGTCTTGGGTCTCTGTGGAGGAGGGAAGGCAAGGAAGGAACGTATATGATTGAGTATTTGCCAACTTATATTACTGATAATTGAATTTAGGTGGTGATGTCTGTCAAGGGATAACTCTTCAGATTGATACTTATCTGATAGTGTGGTTATTAGTGTGGAAATGAGTAGGAGAGATTTAGGCTGTTTAAAAAGGCTCATTATTCTTACTGGTAAATTGTGGGAACCTGAATTCTCTTCCCAATTTGGTCCTGGTTGGTCTTTATTTGGTTAAGCAGGTTCTGCCTCTGCTTCTGAACTTAATTTTTACACACACACACACACACACACAGAATAATATTTTGCTATCCCCAGACATTGACTCGGAAATGAGATGTCAAGCTAAGGGAAAAAACACATTGCTAAGATCTCTGAGGAACAAATATCCATTTTAAATGTTTTCCCTTTCCACTGGGTTCTGTTAGATTAAACATATGGTACCCCTTGCTTTTGCCATTATTTTGAACACTTTTACACATCACATAAGAAACAGTCTACTTTAACCAGTTACATTTTGTAATTTGTGATCGGTTTGTATTGTTATGTTAGTGTTAAAACTACCTGAATTTTTTAACTAAATGCACATCAAATTACCCATACAAATATGCATTTAATAATAATATAATAACATTGCATTTTCACCCTGTGATGGGTTGGAGCCCCACCCTGGGTTTTTTCCCTGCTTTGTGCCTGTAGAATCTGGGGTAGGCAGTGGACCCCCCCACAGCCTTGAATAGACAAGCAGGTTGGATGGATGGATGGATGGATTTTCACTCTAGTGGTTTATCCATTTTGTTGCTGTCTACAGGTGGCATGATTACCCAGTGGGTAGCCCTGTCATTGTCATACCTCCAGGGTTGGGGGTTTGAATCCCACCTCGTTGTATGTGTGTGGAGTTTGCCTGTTCTTCCCGTGTCATGTGGTTCCCTCCAAAGACATACACTCAGTGTCTAACTGCATATGTTCCCTGTGCTTGACTGGCATCCCATGTAGGGTGTGCCCCTACCTTGTGCCTGGCATAGACTGGCAGTCTCTGATGTTTCACAGCTCTGACTAGCAGCTGCCCAAGGTTACTGACCAATTAAAGTCTTCATGGGAACTTACATCAATTTGCTTTTTCCCCAGAATGCATATGGCTAATTGTGTATAGTGTACTGAGGCAAAACTATAAAGTATATATTTTTTAAGTAAAATACATTTTTCTTTTAAATATTACTGAAATATGAGGTCATCTTGTGTTAGAGGTGATAAGAGCTGTAAACTTTCAAGCAATGATCAGAGGCATTGCAACATGACAGGCAGGGCAGGCAATGGCCTGGGGGCCCCAAGCTGTAAAGGGGCCCCCAAGGGAGACCAATTACATAGTACATCGCAACGACAAATCTGCTTTTTTGTGTATTCTATTTTTCTCAAAGTGAAAAGAAATTCTCTTTGTTGATATTATTAATTTGCACTTCACAGTAAAATAAAGGTAATATATTTTAC